TTTGGAAGAGCAGGCAATGCTCTTAACCTCTGAGCCATCTCTCCAGCCCCAACAGTGCTGAGTCTTGCAGGAACTTGGTGGGGTCTGAGGAGTGTGGAAAACACTGTTTGCAAAGACGGTAAAGTGCTCGCTCTGCTCCACCCTTCCTTTTCAAGTCACTCGTTAGATTAGAAGGCAGCCCAGAGGCAGCCTCGGGCTGGCAGGATAGCTCAGCAGGCTAAACCATTTGCCCTAAGCCTCATGATTTGAGTTCGATCCTTAGGACCCACCCCGTGGACCTAAACTGTCCACTCTCATGCACTGCACACACAAATGCAAAAACACACAGAGTGTGCTTGGCGGTGCACACCTGTATCCCAACCAGCAAGCGAGAAGCCGAGGCAGCAGCTTTCCTATGCCAAACTACCCACAAAACAAAAAAAAGCAAAACCAAATTCCAAATACACAGCTGCCTCATTTTCACTGGCTTTACTGTTCCACTGCTGCGTGCCAGTTTCTGTAGCCTGTGCTCCAGTGCTGGTATTGGTGCTTCCCAGCGTCTGCTGCTGCAGTAAATGCATTCTGTCATTTTTGCAGATGAGGGCTCGGGATAAATCAGTAGGATTGCTGTGTCAAGAGGCGTGTGTTTCTTAGGTAAGCCTGAGTACCAGGCCCTGCCAGAGTCGACACTAGGACGCTAGCGATAGGATTATTGCTTATTTTCCCACATCCTGCCCAAATGACAGCACTGTCAACTTTTAAATTCATTCTTTTTTTTTTTTTAAAGACAGGGTTCTCTGTGTAGTAGCTTTGGCTGTCCCAGAACTCACTTTGTAGACCAGGCTGACCTTGAACTTAGAGAGATCCGCCTGCCTCTGCCTCCGGAGTGCTGGCATTAAAGGCTTGCGCCACCACACCAGGCCCTTTCACTTCTTTTGAACTAGCAGCTTGTGGTGATTTTATTATATATAATTGTAATTTTTCTCCTTGATTATTCTTCCAGCTTGTGTGTGTGTCTGCAACATGTGGCTGAGGGTTGAACCAGGGGATTGGTACCTGTTGAGCAAGCACTTAGTTATACCTCCTGCCCAAGAATTTTCTTGGCTAATTCATTGCCGGGACTGTGAGAACTCTATGCACATGCCTTTGAAAATTTACTGCTTAAACAAAAAGCACACAGCTGTGTTGGAAGGACTTGAGAGGATTGTGAGGTTGATACAATCCTGCACTATGTACTGAGACCCTGTCCAGAAACGAAAGCCAACAGGAGTTCCCTATACGGGTCAACGCTCTGCTTTGAATATTCTCCCAGACAGAGCCACCTCTCCCAAGCACACTAGTTCAGACCTCATGTGGCCACTCTTACCCTCACCTTCAGAAAGACACCAGCAGTTTGGGCTTTTAGCAGTTCCAGGTGGGCAAGCCACTCACTCCAAGCAGTAGTAGTAGTACTGAGAGCTACCAGAAGGTGGCAGCAGGGTGCCGCATGCCTGGCATATTGCAGGCTTGGGTGCCTAAGCCGTTCCTCCCACGGAGTCTCCTTGCTGTTTCTTAAATTGGTAAGCAGTTTAGGATCACCAGCCTTGATAGCAGCTTCAGGCGGCACACCCTAGGTTACAGCGTGGGCCTCCTCCCCCTCCAGGAACTGGCTGGAAGGGTTTACATGCCACGGCCTAGCATAGCTTGGGCTTCCTTAATTACAGGGCTCTACTTCCTGCCTCTTTCAGCCAAATCTCCCACACTCTTCCCATGAACTAGGAGGTCCCCAGGACAGGTTCTTGTCACCCTGTTGGCTATGAGCCAATGACAGAGAAGATTAACCAGGAGTTGAAGCTTGGGACAAAGGTCCCGGCGTCCTTGGGGCCATCTTCCCTCTGACAGGGCTTATCTGATGACCCAGCCCCCAAGTTCTGTCTCCTCAACACCTCCTTGAGACAGGGGTTACCCTTCTGTGCAGGCTGTTCCTGAGGAGAGTGGGAGGAAAGGAAAAGAAATGGGGGTTGCAGAGATGGGTGCTGGCCTTGTCCCAGCCGCTGGCTTCCCTCATCCCCTGAAAGATCAGCAGCTTGGGACATTAGTAGCTCCAGGTGGGCTTTGCATAGTGGCTCTTCTTTGGGGACTGCCAAATATTCCCATATCCTGAAGAAGCTGCTGGAGACTTGAGTAGACAGTGACATCCAGAGCAGGGCTGCTTCATTTCATTTTGGGCTGGCTCAATCTGGCAGGGAATGCAGATTTCCTATATCAGACTACAGTCATTTTGGCTTCTGAGCAGGCTAGGGTCGGGGGTAGAGGTTGAAGGAGTTAAATCTGTGGCACAGAACTTGCTGAAGCACCTAGGGGCTAGCACCTGCTGGTGCAAGTGGGAGGGGCCTGTGGGAAGGCCCGGCGTCTAGGGATCATTTCCCAACAGTGGGAATTTGCATACACACCAGTTTCCCCATCAGCCTCTTGGCTCAAGTAACCAGGAAAAGCAGGAGGAAAGAGCAACTGGGGCAGCTACTTGGAATTTGATCCCTTGCAGCATGCCTGGTGACTTGAGCTTTGGTCTCAGGAGTCACATTCCATCCTTGCCACCCTCTTCCGTTAAGCTCACACGTGGATCACTGTGGGCCAGGCAGCTGAGGCCCCGTAAGGAGGGTAGTGAGTCGCCCAGGGCGGCCTCTCTAGTGAGTGGGGCTTGAACTGGTCCCTGGCTGCCTCTAGCTGCCACGAGCTGTGGCATCCTCTTGTATATCTGGAGAGGTGGTCTGTCTTTGTGTCCTGTTCACAGCTGGGAGGCAAAGGCCCCCCCGTGACTCAGCACTACCCTTCAAGGCCGCCTTAGTGGGCCAGAGGAAAAGAGGTGGTTGAGAACCTCGGAGTTAAGCTGAAGCAAGTCACGGAGAAGCAACAGCCTTGGCTTTGAGCCTGGCTGCCTGCGTAGCCCTGCCCGGAAGCTAGATTGAGAAAGAGGCCTGGAGGCATGGCTATGTGGCCGGCTAGTCCAGCTGAGCTGGCTTCCTCGTCAGGAAGCATGGGTGCCAGGGCAGGAATCACAGAAGGCCTGAGCTGACCCTCTCTTCCCCAGGGCCCAGCCCCAGGTCGCACCTTTTGTGTGGCTCTGTAGTCCTTGTTGGTCCCTGTCAGTGCCTCCTGACAGCCAGAGCCAGCTGACACTAATGCCGCTGCCTGTCGGCCTGTGGGATCCACTCATATGTCACCCTCCTAGAACAGCCAGCAAATGACGTCAGCTCTGGCGAGGGACCGGGCCGAAGAGTTTCCCACTTCCCCTTCCAGGGGACTTTCAAGTTCCATTATATCGTATAGAGCCTGGGCCCTCCTTGGCAGCTGAAGAGGGTGGGCGTTATAGTTGTCTCTCTGGGAGGACATTTCCTCCCATTTCTGCAAGGGCTTGAGTCCCAGTAGACTGGTGTCAGATTTTGGGATCAGGGACAAGTACTGAACGCCCTGCCCCAGCCTGCCTTCTTCCTCCGTGGGACCTTGGGCAAGTCACTCAGCCTCGCCAGGCAAGCTGATAATGAACTAGACGGTCCGGTATTTTAGCTTCCTATCCCGTAAAGACAAACAGATGCCCATTTAACCTGAGAGCACACTGGAGTGTTTGTGTGTCTTGTGTGTTTTGTTTCCCGTTTGAGATAGGGTCTCGGGCAGGCCAAGTTGGCTGGGAACTTGCTTTGTAACCAAAGATGGCCTTGAACTTCTGTTCCTCCCACAGCTTCGTGGAAGCTGGGAGTGCCAGTGACTGTCCCAGCACCAGGTGCTGAGGAGAGAACGCCGCACACGGCTGGCTGCATTCCCAGCTCCTTAAACGGCAAAATGTAGTTGGATTATAAAGTATAAGTAAGGCTTTGCCATCTCCTCGTGCTGATAAAACCTCCTGAGGAGGCTGGGAGCAACGAGCTTGGGACAGACACCTTGAATGTCTGTGGGAGAGAGGCTCCCAGCTCATGCATGGCGAGGTACCCTGATCCCTACCTCAAGCAGAGATCTCTGACAGGGTGGCCAGGCGCTGGTGGGCAGGGCCCCGGGCGCTGGTGGGCAGGGCCCCGGGGGTGACATTTTCTTCCACAGCACCGCAGCTGTGTTGTGCTGAAGTTGTTTTTAAAGCAGAAAATTCGGCTGCACCGGCCAGTTAAGTACAAACCAGAGGACTTGCTCAAAAAGGTAGGGTTATTAAAGCTGTAATTTCTTCCATTTCCCCCAGCTGATAGTATTTGTTCAGGGACTGTGTGATAGCCTAGCCTTTCATTTGAAATACTTAATACGTGCATTCACTTTTGAGGTTGGAGCAGGGAGGAGGAGGGAGGGAAGATCTTCTTGCCTGGGCTTGTCTAGGCTGGGGTGCAGTTTGACGTGGATGGGGTCAATCCTGTGAAGCCACCCACAGGAGTCACACTTCTGGAGGCCTCTAATGAGCAGTGCTTGTGTGGCAGGAGGCAGGTCACACACCCAGCACGTTATTATCTCACTGAATCCTCGTGACAAACCTGTAAGGTGGCTGCCATTAGTATTCCTATTTCAGAGGATGAGGAAACTGAGGTCTGAGAGGGACAGTCCCTTTGCTCCAGGTGGCAGAGTCGGTGGCAGGGCCTCTCCATGCTGCTAGCCCTACCCCAGCTCTCCCCAACCCTCATTCTTCAGACACAGCCGATCTGGGAGGAGGGCCCGGAGTGTAGCACCCAAGAGCTCCCTCACACCCATCCAGATGCCCCGCCCTCTAGGGCTATAATGTGGTAGATCAGTTCCCTATTTCCTACCCTCAGTTCTACAGCATAGAAAAGGGGAACAGCTCCACCCGCCACCACTACCCCGCTGAAGCCTCAGGGCTCTCTGTTATCACTTCTGCTTCTGCACCTGTCACCCGCTGTGTCCAGGGACATCCCACCTCCCATCCGGGCTCAGCTCCTAGGGACCAACCAATTCTGGAAACCTCCTGAGGACAGGGAATGACGTCAGATGGCTCCCCCAGGGTGAAACCCCTTACCCGTCCCCCCAGCATATCAGAGACAGCCAGCTCCTCAAGGACTCACAATATCCTTTATTTTTGTCATTCTTTCCACTTAAAATATTTCAATTTTGTATCTGTACACAGCATACATGTGTCCTCCCACCCATGGGGAAAGGTAACAGGTGTAGGGACAGAGGGCCTTAGGGCCCTGGTGGGGTGACGGGGTAGGTGGACAGAGCGGGCGGGTGGGTTATAAGAAGCATCTTGCTTACTAACATGAAGCCTCATGCCCTGTGAAAAGGGATGAAGCCGCATTGGCTTGAGGGGGGCCTCGGAGGGCAGGCACATGGTGCCCAACTTGCCGGCGGTGCCGGCGTCCCAGGGACAGGGTGGAGGGTGGGGTCTAGTTCAGGCCTCTGCTCCCCTAGGCCTCCCTCCCCGCCCTCTGAGAAAAAAGAGGGTTTGGGCATCAGCCACGGATGGACGGCCTGACCGGCAACGTCTCCTTAAATGACAGAGATACAATGTGTATCAACAGGGTGATCGCTTCTGACCCATGCGGGATAGATAGAGGTGCCACAGGGCCAGAACCAATCCTATGGGATCTTTGGTTTGAGGATTCTCTTGCCAGCTCCATTCGTCCCTCTTCCAAGGTAGGCCAGGGGCTGGGGACCGATCTATGATGCCTGACAGCCCCTTGAGCCACCTCCTGGCTTACTTACTGAGGTGCTGGGACTTGTAAGAAAGGATCTCAGCGGCCAGCTGCTGGGGGTCCAGGAGCTGTGGGAAGCGCCCCATTACAGCTTCTACCAGGTGTGGGGGGAAGACGCCACACAACTTGGTGTACACACCAGCCCTTTCTTTGGCCCTTTCGCTCACCCTGCCCCAGGGGGCCCCACTAGCCCCTGGGCTGGGCCTCTGGGGCTCTGGAAGGACTGGGGTAGGTGAGGGCAAAGGGTACGGTTCAGACCAGTACTCTCTGGCTGGAAAGGTGGGTAGCTGGGGCACATAGTCGGTGGGCACACTGAAATGGCCAGCACCCATGGGCTGTCTAAAGGGAGCAAAGGCAGATGCTGCTGGGAGCTCAGACCCATAGGCGTGATACCCAGCATAAGGACCCCGAGTAGAGCCCGACTCCCCAGGGCTGCCTCCTCGCACCCCCCACAGTTCCGACATCTGGCTCTCCAGGGAGCCAATGCCTGAATCAAGGCACTCCTGGGAGGTGTATGGCAGTGAATCCAGGGTGTGCGGGAGCCACTCCGTGGGCCCAAAGCTGCCCCCACTAACAGGGAGGCTCCTGCCAGCCGTAGTAAAGGTCTGTGTGGAGCCTTCTTGGTGGGGGCCCGGGGATGATCTGGCCCCCAGTTTTTTCCCATCTAGGCTTCTCTGCTCAGCTTCTGGAGAAACAGAGCGGGGCTGAGAGGCAGGGGAAGGCCTCTGGCCACTTTTGTCCTTCACTGGGGTCCTGGGGGGTGAGAGGAGGGCATTAGCACGGAGCTCATCAGCCACGGAGCGCTGGGGGCGGCTCGGCCGCTCAGGGTGGAAGAACCGGCACTTGATTCCATAGGTACACTTCCTCCCTGCAAGAAGGACAAAGAGTGTCTCGAAATGGGGCCAGAGAGAAGAGGAGGCTCAGGGACTTGGGGTGTAGGTGGTCTCCACAAGGAAGCCACCAGGATACAGGCCTAGGTGGATGGGCAGACAAGAGGCAAGGTACAGAAGGCTACTGAAGACGGAGCTGGGTCTCACCATAGGGACATGGCTGCTTCCTGTGTTCAGAAGGCAGTGACCTCTTACGCAGGAAGTTGTCCAGGCTAGGCCCATGCCGTCCCAAAGGGTCATCAGGGGGCATGAACCTGTGGTAAATAAAAGGAACTCTCAGGAGAAGGAAGCCATGAAGAGGGCCCAAGGAAAGGGCTGGATAGCCAGGCTTCCTGGGGAGAGATCAGCCCCCAAACTGCCTGTCTGCAGCAGGATGCCCCAATTCTGAGTCTGCAGTTGGCTCACCCCAAAAGGAAAAGTTCAGAGGGGTATAGCTCAAGGTTATCTTCCGGGCACTCCCCAGGCTGTGGGGAGCCACAAGCTAACTGCATCTTGGGATGTATGCTACCTTAGACTTACTGGAGAGAGCCATGGAGGAATGCACTGGGTCTGTCTTAAGCTAGCTTCAACCCCTAGCCCCCAGTCAAAAGCTCTGCTGGCCCCAGCCTTTTCTCCATTACTCATGTCACTGCCTAAGCTGCAACCCAGACCATGGGCCCACAGGGTCCACCCCCAGCATTTCTCCCAGTCCTCCAGCAGTGACGTACTTGTCATTGACGAAAGAGTACATGAGTAGCCGCTCCTCGATGAAGCGCTTCCACTCCTGCCTCTCGCCTTGGAGGTCCCGGTATGTGTCATTGGAGACTACCACCCCGTCGGATTCATAGGCCAGCTTCACAATGAAGCGGTCGTCATAGCACACCACACGCTTGCCACCTACACGCCGAGATGGTGTGAACACCAGGATCTTCTTTTTCTCTAGTTCCCGCAGAATGTGCTGGTCTGGGGATGACAGAGGTGCAAGTCAGGGGCCCCTGGGGACCCTGAGACACCCGACAGGGCTCCATGGCTCACAGTGGCTGGGCTCAGAGGCTGTTCACGCCAGTTTCGAGAGGACAGAAACCAGGCAGCCATGTGGAAACCAAGTGCACCTGTGTGCAGGAACATCCCATTCAGCAGGAGCGCTGAGCCCAGAGTGGCTCTTCCTGCTTCCCCTCTGGCCTGTGCCCCCTGCCTGTGCCCCCTACCACAGGGGTCCAGGAAGAAGTGTACTGGCCATGTCCCTCACACACTCAGAACAACGCTCCCATCCTTGTTCAGAAGAGGCTCAGGAGTCCCCAGCCTGGCCCAGACTTCTAAAGAAGCCGTCTCTCGTGGGGGGGGAGGGGCTGCGCAGCCTGAACACACCATGCATTCACGCTGTGCTGGGTTAAGCACTTCTATACCGTCTCAATTGCTCCTCTGGCAGTGTTTGGTGGGTGTTGTCAGCACACCTCCACCCTGCCCCATTTCACAGCCGAAGAGCTCATGGCTCAGAGCACAGCTACGTAAGACCCTTGTCTGGGTTACTCAGGGCCAAGCCTCTCACCTTGTCTTCTTGGCCCAGCACCCACAATCTCAATCATGAGGCTATATTTATATTGCCCCTCTGCCACTGGGGATGCTGAACGAGGAATGCCTCTCCAATAGGATGAGAGAGATACCCCAAGACTACACAAGGTGACTCCCAGCCATTCTCAGCTGAGCTGGACTGCTGAAGGCAGCAGGCATTGGAAAAAGACAGGCTGGTCCTTGTTTATAATCTAGAAGGTGCTGGCCCTATTCAAGTACTCTTTTGGGGAGCACCAGGGTCGCTGGTACAGTGAGGCCATCCCACTTCCAGCACACATACCTGTGATGGGCACATCTGGCCGAGGCTGTTCCTTCCTCCATGATGGTACAAACACGGTGATGTCTGTGTGGCCCCGCTCCAGAAACCAGTTCACAGCCAGCAGAATGCCCCGACAAGAGAAGACTTCCTTGTTCCCGTGACTGGAAGAGGAGGGATAAGTTAGCTCACAGAGTAGCCTGTCTGTGGTCACCCAGGCCGGAGCAGAAGTGGGAAGTAGGCCACGCTCTAGCACTGCTTGGCCTTGCTGGGTAGCTGCAGGACTCAGTCCCTGGCTCTCTGCCTATAGGGCCTAAAGCCTTGTCCCTGGGCCCATTCCCACAGCGCCTGGTGGCCAGCCCCAGATGGGACTTTCCCTAAGATTCCATCTCCTCAAAGTGTGGATCCACCCAGGAATCTAGCCACACTGGCTCCCCACGTAGAGGGGGGAGGGTCGGGCCACTTGCAACATATCTGGGGGTGGGTAAAGGTGATGGGAGACTTGGGGATCCTGCCCTACCCAGAAGCCACAGGGTCCACGGGGACACAGATTTGCACATGTAGGCTGAGTCACTCAACACTACACAGCAAGGAGGCACCAGCGGAGGAGGAGGGGGCGGGGGAGGCACCAGCCATGTTAAGCAGGAGAGAAATCAGACTGTTCCGGATTAAAGTTCAGTCTATACACAAGGTCTCAGCTGGCTTGGGTCCCCAAAGGGTGCAGGGAAGGAGCATGGGGAGTCACCCTTCTACAGGGGTCAGGAAATAACAGCCAGGAGGCACTCCAGGAAATTTTCAGGGTGAAAGTGAAAGGCCACTGCTTTTCCTCTCAAGAGGCCAGTTCCCTGCAAGCCTGCCCCTCCCTGCATGTCTGCGTGGGGGGGGGGCAGTGCCGCCGCCCCAGGGAGGGTGTGACTCCTGGCAGAAAGATGGGCAGGAAATTGCTGGAGAACTCTGCTTGCTCACAAGAAGGGCTGGGGCATCAGGCCTTGGCCTTGTTCTATCTAAACATGGCTTTCCTCAGAAGCAACCTAGCTGGCTCCTAGGCTGCCCTAGCCTGTGTCTCTCTCTGCCCGCAAGCTTGGTGGAGGGCACCTTTCTTAGACAAGCCATTTCACAGCAGGGGGCTTGAGGCTAAAGACAGCTGGTAAGGTGGAGTTCCTGGAAGTGCTGAAGGGGACTCCCTCCCCAGCAATCCCAGCCTCCGGTTAGCCCCATAGCGAGCAACTCAGACTCATATTTGGCAAATAAAACAGAATAAATGTTACGCAAAAGAGGCAAGTCCATGGCAGACCACATCCTGTGGGTAGCTTTGGGGAGAGGGGGGTGATAGCTGGAGTCCCAAGAGAACAGAGTGGGGAGTGGGGCAGCTGGAGGCATGGAGGTTATCTGGTGGGGGGGGTAGGCTGGGGTGAGACTCCAGAGTCTCTAAGTCTCTGAACTGTAGAGGAAACAAAGTCATCTCCAAGGCAACACTTCCAACCCCCTCCTTCCCCGCCTCCTAAGTAGCCTGCTCACAGTGGAGTCAAAACTCACAGGGAGCCGCAAACCTGGCGCTCTGTGTTCTCCCTGAAATCATCAAGCCCACAAGAAGTGTGCTGCTATTACCCTCCCCTTCCCTTCTGTTCAGAGGGTCCAGAGAGGGTAACTTAGTCACCAAGGGTCACACAGCAACCAATGTGATCAGAACCACTCCCGTTGGCATTCAGGTACCAACAGCCCTGATGGCTGCGAGGGCACCGGGTCCACCTAGACCATCTCAGTGCTGGGAAGGAGACTCCACGACACACACACAAGTACACACAGTGGGGCTACTGGATCACTGTCCTTTCCCTTACAGAAGATGCGGAGACAAGATGCGACAGGAGTTTCAGAACTCAAGCATCAATGGCGTACATTCTGCATATGGAGAGGAAGGGACACCCTGGAGCCAGAGAAATGATGGGCTCAGCAAATCCTTACACTTCCTTTCGGAAGCCAGGTGACATGTCAAAACCTCTGAGGAACATCCCCGTCTGTGGTGGCCCCATCAGACTGTCTCCCCCAGATGTGAGGTAGTCTTCTGAGTGTGCATATCCACATGTCCCCTGACCTCTCTGTGGATTCACGGCCCCTCCTGGACCAGCTAAGTCAAATTTGAGGATCTCCCGATGTACTGCCTCTGGGCATTTAACCCCCTGGCTGGGGACAAGTCTCCTCTCAGCAGTGCTGGTACCGGAATGTTCCCTCAGCAGGTAGTCAGAGCCCTATTCTTGGCAGCAAGAGCACTTGAGGCCTGAGGCCCAGAACACCCGCCCGGACAACTCATTCAGCTCACTGCACTGCAGGAAGCTTGGTTGGCCCAGGAAAACCAACTTCCTCCCATCATCAGAGTCCCGCAGGCCCCTGGGTCGGGGCCCCTACCCAGGCTTATGGGCTGGGCATATGGAAGACTCCAGCTCCTGCCCAAGGACAGGGCAGGGTTAGCCTCCCCAGGTAAAAAGAACAGCCTGGGCTGGGTCTAATGAGCGCAGGAAAATTCCCTTAGAAGGAAACAGAGGTGAATTTCCCCACGATTTGCATATGGTGGGGGCTAGCCCTTGTGTGTGTGGGGAGCAGCAGGGTAGGAACCAGGCAGCTGCTGAGACAGGAAGTGTGAGGCTGGAATTCCCCTTCCGTGGCCACCCCAGCTCAGAAACCCCCAGCAGATAGGCAGGCGGGCAGGCAGGCCGGCAGACAGTAGCAGTCTGTCTCTTTGGTATCAGCTCTCCTGAACCCCTCCACTACTGCCCCTCCTCCCGCCCTGGCCCCTCCTTCTCCTGCCCAGGATACAAATACACGTAGCACATGGCTGCCCACAAGACACCCAGCCCACGATTCCTAGGGGAGGTCTCCAAATTCCTCCCCTATCTCAGAACCTCCGAGAACGGCAGCCTCGGAAGGGACAAGTTGGACCAGCTGCCCTCTGGCATGGAAGCCAGCGTTTCTCAGCCTTCCACCCAAGATCAGTTCATTTTAAAGATGTGAAGACGGACCCAAAGGTGTTGAAGAGGGCTGCCCCCATGTACCAACTAAGTAGGGCCAGGGCCAGCCAGACAGCTCACTTGACCCAGCTGGGTTGAGAGTAGGTGGGGACCAAATGCCAGGTAGGGAAGAAGCTGGCATCGTGACAAGTCCACCTGGTACAGCCCTTGGGGCAACCGGGAAAGAGACTTCCCCTCTTCCTGTTCTCTTGCTGGGGTCTCCCCTGGTCCCTGCCAACAGGAACTTTTCCTTGTGTGTGATCCACCCAGGCCTGACTCACCCAGTTGTGCAGGCAACTGGGAGAAAGCAGGACTGGAGGGTGCGGCCTGGATGGAAGGGAGAAGCCAAGGGCTCCTTAAGGTCAGAGGCAGCCTGGCTCAATTTCTGCCTCCACCCCGCCTCCTTCCCTGAGCAATCTGCAAAGATCTGGGAACCCCCTGAGATGAGCCCAGCCCAAGCAATATCAGTTCGGCCAATATAGATCTCATCAGGGCTCACGTGAGTCCAGAGCATCGGGCCACCTGCACACACCCAGGGAGCCAGATCCGGCCAATAGATCACACCTGGTTAGGGCTAGGACGCTCGCAACAGTTAACAAAGTCTTGCTTCTGTGGGAGCCCAAGTCTAGGACAAGGAGGTCCCAGAGGGCTCAGCCACTGGAGGACAACTATTCGCTTAATACTTACAACTCTCCACGTTTTATGCATTTTCTTCCTGAGAGGAAAGACTGAGGACAGAGTGAAGAAACGACTCTACTGGGTTAAGCGACTGGCTCCCAGAAAGCTCGAGCCCACAGGCCATTCCCCCTACATTGTCCTGCCTCATGTCAGAGGCAAGAAGAGGACTGGTCTCAGGAGAGACCACAGTACAAAGTACACTCTGGGCACAGAAGGCTGAGTTTGAATGCTTGCTGCTCATTTATCAAGGAGCGTGACTCTGGGCAAGGGTCTAAGCTCCTAGTTTCCTTCTTAGGACATTCATGAAATACTCCAAGAAGTCCTAAGGTTTTAGGGAGCCTCCTGGCACATGGCGGGACCTCACAGGAAGCGTTTGCAGTCCCTCACCAGTCCACGAGGAAAGCCAAGCTTTTTTTTTTTTTGTCCCAAAGGAAGAGCCACAGACACTTCCACAGGTCCTCTCCACAGAACTGACACATACCTCATGGCCACATTGCTTCCATCGATGACCACGGGCCTCAGGTCACTGCCCTCCTTGTCCTCCTCTGGGAGTGAAGGTTCTAGAGAGGAAGGTTTGGGGGTGCTTCCGCCCCTGGGCACCAGAGGGAGCTGGGGGCAGGGGTCTGTGGAGGCCTGGCACTCCCGCTCAGTAGCTGAACCATGCTTCACCAGCTCCCCCAGCACCGTGTTGGTATCTGCTTGGACCCCCAGCTTCTGCAGGACACTGTGGATCTCGGAGGATGAGTAGCCCAGCTTCCGAAAGAAGTCCACCTTCATCTGCAACTCAGCAGAGGCTTCTTTAGCCTCAGGGTCCTGGGCTGGCTGTGGGCGACCCCGGCAGCTATGGCTGTCCTCAAGATCCCACAGACTCATGGTGGGACTGGCTTCTCGGACAGGCTTCTTTCCCCAGGGGTCACTCATATCTCAGATTCTTGGAAGGCGTCCATCACAGTTCCTATTGATCAGACCACCGCGTTAGGGGCAAGGAATACCCACTGTGGCTCTTTCAGCCTCTCTCCCCCACAGGATAAGGTAACATGAACTGAGCTGTCACTAACCAAAGCCATCCTCCTATGTCAGCTCAGGCTGTGATCTCAAGAGCTCTCGGCAAGGAGTTATTCTTATATAGGGGAAACTGAGGCACAGGCAATAAGAATTTACTCAAGGTCATCAACTCAGAGTTTGTGACACAAAAACTTTCAACTTGTCTGACTCCACCCCCAAACTCGGCTTGTTCCACAAAGGGACCCAGGAGGCAGGGGCGGGGCTCTCAGAAGGGAACTGGGGGCTGGAAGTGCGCAGGGGACCCAGGGGCTTCCCCGTTGTGGCCATCGCCTTCGTTCTAGAGTGCCTTACTAAGAGCCCAGGGCCGGAGTCCCATTCCGGGAAGGACAAGTTTCCGGGGTGACCCACAGGGAGAAAAGTTGCTGGGAGACTCTGGTTGGCTACCAGGCCCGATGACGCGAGGCGGCCCGGGTTGGAGCCTTGCGTATGCTGGGTGCCCCAAGACACACCGCTCCACTCACCGGGGTGAACTCGGCAGGGGTCCCCGCGATCCGCGATGAAGACGCGGACCGCGACCCTTTTGAGGCCGGACCCAACACAGCGCGACACTTATGCCACCCCGCAACACTTACTCACCCCTCCGAGTGACGGACGCAGCCCGTAGAGCGTCCATGGAGCCGAGTCCCGAGCTCCGACTACACCTTCGTAGCCGCGACAGGCGGGCAGGTGCTTTAAGGGCCGTGACGCGGAAGCCGGGCAGGGCCGCCGCCCCTTCCTGCTCCGCCTCGCTCCTGCCCCGGCCCCGCCCCTGGCGGCCCGCACTGGTCCCGCCCCGTCCCTGACCAGACCCCGCCCCAGCATCCTTAGCCACGCCCCTGGGCACTCCAAGTCTAGGCGGCTTGGAGCTTGTGCCACCCGATTGCTTAAGACAGGCGCTGCAGATACAGGTTCTACGCACTGTGCAAAACCGGAATAGCACGGCCTCGATGGTTCAGCTCAACAACTTGACAGGCCCACCGACCTGATCCAGACTTCCAGGTGCACAAGTGAGGCCACCGCCATCGAAGGTCGCACCTTCCTGTTAGGTGGAGACCGGGTCACTCCATTTCAGTCCCATAGACTGTGTCTGAAGCCCATTCAGAGATGGAGCCACACTCAGGGTCAGGGGCACTTTTCCTGAAATAAATACCTTCCCAAGACAGGAGGGCACCACCCCAACAGATGCACAGTGGTGGAGGAAAAGCCAGGGAAAGGAGGGACATTGGCGCCAGTCTCTTTGGGAGAGTTCATGAAGAATGCTGTTAAGCACGCTGCAAAACTCATCCTATCACTCGCTCTCAAGAGGTGACAGGTGACTGGTCAAGATCCCTCAGATGAGCACAGTCCTTTACTGTGTCTACCTGGGGCTTAGATGATGAAGGCTTAGATCCTTGTGCTTGTGGACCTTTTATTTCCTTTGGGTTTTGTGTTCTTCCTGATACAAGGTCAAGCTACACAGCCCGTGCTATCCTTGAACAGCCCAATGGCCTCCTACCTCAGCCTCCTGAATGCTGCAGTTACAGGCAGGAGCTATCCTGCCAGCTCCATTTACCCGCCCAGAGATGCAGAAAAGGTTGAATGGCCTCAGCCAGAGACACCAAGACCAGAATATCCTATTCCAGAGCATCAGGGACCACTATGAGCATTCTGGGAGCCAGTGTTGATCCATGGCAGAGGGATCCTGGCTGTCACTGTGTGTGTGTGTGTGTGTGTGTGTGTGTGTGTGTGTGTGTGTGTGTGCATGTGCCAGGGAAGAGAGAGGGGCAGGGGAGAGGGAGAAAGGAGCCCTAGGACCTGCACATGGAGGTCAAGGTCTATTACATCACCGGTATGCTTGTATATAGGGCAACTGAGGCTTGGGAAGCCAAAACACTCAAAATGAAGTGCTTGTTATGGTATAGCAATACTTTAGTCATGTTACACTTGCTTGTCAAGGATAGGTGTCCCCTAGGAATGCTGTTTATTAAAATGGTTTTATAGTAAACGACACTACATATACAACTGCATATGTTCAGCCTAAAAATGATAACAATAATTGTATTGGCTTTATTTATTTTTTTAATTACCTTATTGATTTATAAGCATGGGTGCTTTGCATACCATGTGCATATCTAGTACCCCAGCAGGCCAGAAGGAGCTTAGGATCCCTGGAACTGGAGTTATACAGACGGTTGTAAGCTGCGATGTGGATGCTGGAAGTCAAACCAGGATCCTCTGAAAGAGCAGCCGGTGCTCTTCACTGCTGAGCTATCACTCCAGCTCCCAATAATAATTTTGAAAACCGCACCTATGTTACACTTTGTGTTGTTTTTAAAAGATTTATTTTATTTACGTATATGAATATTTTGCCTCCATCTAATTTTGTGTGTCACATGCATGCCCGATGCCCTCAGAGGTCAGAAGAGTGTGTCAGATCCCCTGGAGCTGGAGTTAGGGACTGTTATGAGCTGTCATGTGGGGACTGGCCCTGAGTTCTCTGCAATAGCAGTAAGTGCCAAGTGCTCTTAATGGTCGAGCCATCTCTACAGCCCTGTTTTGTGTTCTGGGATAGAGTCTCTTGGAGACCAACCTAGCACTGAATTCGTAAGTTGCAGAGGCTCTCCTTGAATCCTAATCCTCTCCCACATGCTGGGGTGACAGGCATGCACCACCACGCCTAGCTTTCCATTTATCCATCATCTAACTTGACAAATAGGTTAGTGTGATGCCTTTAAGGACATCTGGGTGCCCCAACCACACTGCTTTCCCTCGTCTGGAGGAGCTGTTGTGCCGGTCGTTCCCCCATGTCGCGCCCTTGTGTGCTGCGCTTTCTGTTTAGAATTTTAGGTACATAGACTCCTTCTATAATGATAGGCTTTCCCTTTTCACACAGGTTTATGACGGTGAAGGTCCATGTCTGTGGCCTGCATACTCTCCTTTATTTGGTTTTCTGCTGAAAAGCATCCTGCTTCATGGAGAAACTCAGAACTCCTTATCCCTTTACTTGTATTGAATGCTGTGTCTATCATTTGAATATTAACTGTTTTCTTCTTTCTCTTTTTTCCTTTTTCTCTTTTTGGTTTTTCGAGACAGGGTTTGTCTGTATAGCTTTGGAACCTGTTCTAGAACTCGTTTTGTAGAACAGGCTGACCTCGAACTCACAGAGATCCACCTGCCTCTGCCTCCCGAGTGCTGGGATTAAAGGCATACTGCCCAGTCCCTTTTCTTTTGAGACAGGGTCCCACTGTGTAGCCTTAGTTCACCAGGAGCTCACTATGTAGACCCATCTGGTCTCAAACTCACAAAAATCAGCCTGCCTCTGCTTCCCAAATGCTGGAATTAAAGGCAGGTGTCACCATGCTGGCTTTCTTTCTTTTCTTATTTGCATATTTATCTATTGACAAGGTCTTGCTATGTAGACGAGGCTTGATCCCAACTTGTGAGCTTCTTATGTTTGTCTCCTGAGTGCTGGGATTGCGGACATGCACCACCGTGGCTTGCCCTCATAGAATTGGAGAGCTGAGAAAATGTCACTCAGAGGTTGGGAAGGGTAAAGTTAAGGCCCAGAGTTGGTGGGGCTGGAAAATCGGCAGCTTTCCCTGCTGTGGCCCTCTCTTTTGGATACCTGCTTTGTGGAGGCTTTGGGAGGCTGTGAGGAGGAAGTACACATGGCTAGTTGGTCCTGAGGTTGTTCCTTAAGACTTGCTAAATGTCATCAAAACATGTAGGCTTATTTGGTTCTTGGTCTTATTTATTTATGCGGGGGGTGGGTGGCTGAACAGACAGGGGATCCAAATTCTCCATGCTGAGTGCCAGCTCATGACTGGTGCTGGGCGTGTGGCATGCTCATGGTCACTGCTGCTGAGCTCAGCACACTGCACCCTCATCTCCTGCATCCCCTCTTTCATGTGTGCTCAGTGATAGTGGGCATCGCTCTCTATGGTAACCGCTTTTCAGATGGTGAAATCACGAAGTGACATGTCTGAGTTAAGAACTACTTCATATGCCTGGGTGGTCCTCCGGTGAGGGGACTGGACAGGGGTTCCACCAGTGTTTCCAAGCCCTGGGCTGTCCGGCACTTATCAGAGGCAGCTGGCAGAGCCAGCGATGAGTCACGCAGTTCCCCACAAGCCACAGTCTCCCTCTCTTCCGGTTTGTGACGATGACTCCTTCCTGAGACACCCTCTTCTGCAGAAAGCCCTGGCTGCTCCTGAGAAGCCATGTTCCATTTACAACTAGGTTTTGCAAGCATTGGCCCAGTTCCTATGGACCTGATCATCCCAAACCCACGTCCCACTCTGCCTCTCGCATGTCTGTCTTGGAAGTTAGGCTTTGCCACTTCCTTCCTAGAGTCTTCCTGTCCTTTGTCACCTGGAGAAGGTCTAGAAACTTCTGGACTGTCATCCCTCAGGGCTATGTGGGGAAGGCTGGAGAGGGAAAGGCCCCAGAAATGACTCCAGCTCAGTCCGGGGATGACAAAGGAACTTGAGCCCTCTCTAGAGGGCTGAACAGTGACTCTCATGCTGAGTGGCTACAGAGTGGCGAGGGCTCCTGCAAGCCAAGAAAGAGCCCTCCTGTGTTCTGGGTCTTTGTGTAGGATCTGAGGATCGCATTCAAGTTGTCAAGCTTGTACATCAAGTGCCTTAACCTGCTGACCCATCTTGCTGGACCTAGTGTGTGTTTTATTATCTATCTATCTATCTATCTATCTATCTATCTATCTATCTATCTATCTATCCATCCATCCATCCACCCACCCACCCATCCATCCATTCATCCATCCATCCATCTATCATCTATTTATCTATCTATCTATCTATCCATCCCTATCTATCTATCTATCTATCTATCTATCTATCCATCCATCCACCCACCCATCCATCCATTCATTCATCCATCCATCCATCTATCATCTATTTATCTATCTATCCATTCCTATCTATCTATCTATCTATCATCTATCCATTTATCTATCTATTCATTAATTAATTTTCAAGACAGGGTTTCACCATGTAACCGCCTTGGCTGTCCAGGAACTCAGGAACTAGCTCTGTAGACCAGGCTGTCCTTGAGTCTCTGCCTCCCAAGTACTGGGATTAAAGGGATGCACCACCACCCAGTGTATGTTTTAATAAAAAAATTAAGATTATTATTATTTTTCGAGGGAGGGTTTCTCTGTGTAGCCTTGGCTGTCCTAGAACTCACCCTGTAGATGAGGCTGGCCTCAAAATCAGAGGTCTGCCTGCCTCTGCCTCCTGAGTGCAGGGAGTAAAGGAATTTTTTTTTTAATGTTTGGGTATTTTGCTTGCATGTTTTGTCTGTGTACTACATGCACCCAGTGTTCAAGGAGGCCAATAGAAGACGCTAGATCCCTTGGAACTGGCGTTACAGACTGCTTTGAACTGCCACCATGTGGGGTGTTGGGATTCTAACCCCATTCTCTGGAAAAGCAGCCAGTGATCTTAACTGCCAAGCCTTTTCTCCAGGCCTGATTTTAAATGGTAACTGAACAATCAACTTTTTTTTTTGTTTTGTTTTTTTGTTTTTTTGTTTTCTGAGGCAAGGTTTCTCTGTAGACCAAGATGGCCTTGAACTCACAGAGATCTGCCTGCCTCTATCTCCTGAGTGCTGGGATTAAAGGGGTGCACTACCATTGCCTGGCCAATTAACTTTTTTAAAAATCAGGTTTTCAAATGTGACACAATATATTTATATTATTAGCTTGTTTTTAAAAATTCTTCTTTTTGTTTAG